GTCAGTCGGATCCGATGCGATTGGGATCAACTGTTGTGGACCTCTCCGTTGCCAACTGTTTCAAGATTATACGAAACGGATGCGCTCTCAACACAACTCTGGAAGTGCTTCAAAACAAATACCATTTCAAGAGATTATGAAATGGTTATCATTTGTTGACAAAGCGATCAAAACACGAGTTAACTGTAATTTTGTGGTTTGTTTTCAATAGTAAAAACTTTTATCTTTTGAGACAACTGTTTGTTTCACACATTTATTACGAAATCATTATTTATTTGATTATATTTTTATAAATAACTAATTGTTTTTAACAAGAATTTAGAGAAATAATGAATAGTTTTTATTTGAATAAATGAAATATTTTAATTAAATGACAAAATTTTCTTTAAATACAATTAAATCAATGAATAATAAATACACAAAAAAAAAACAAATGAAAAATCAATTTTGAATTTCTTAGAGCAATGAAACGAAGTCTTGTTTTATGAGATGCTGTCCGGCGGACAGTCATCCAAGTCATCGGAACTGACAGACACTTCCGATTGGGCGCTCACATCAAGTCCTGCCATTGAGTTGACCATTGAGTCCTACTGGTCACAAACAACTCGACATCAAACCTAACTGTCGGCGCCTTCTCCTCAAACTCTGCGCTCAAACCACTGTTAGAATCGCCCGAAAGAGCCATCAATTTGTAGTCACTCTTCTGTATCACTGATCTCTAAAACTGAAGAACTTTCACAAAAATGGCTTCAAATTCTCAATACTTAACGCAAACTTTGAGGTTCTGATCAAACGGTAAAAGTTTTCTTATATAGGATTCAAATTTTTAAATCTCGACACAAATGCGTGCAAACAATGATATAATTAAAGTTAACTAAAAATATGCCAATAGTTTTCAATTGAATGAGAAATGAATGCATTATTAGCTGTAATATAAAGTGATATAACAATCAAAGAGTCGGTCACTCTATAGAGAGCGTGAAGTTATTCAAGAATTCAAAATCCAAACTCTATTTCAAACCATTTTTGATGCAAAAAATCTTCGTTATCTGTGATTAAAACTTTACCAAACAATTGATTATTTTATTTGTTGGGAACTAATTGAGTGACAATTAGTGATGTGTATCACATATTTATGGCGTCTATGTTTTGGACGGTCGGAAACACCCGATTCTCGCGGTCTGACAGCACCTCAACGGGAATTCAGACGAAGAATACGCTCGTATCAAATGGAAGAGATGGGAGAGAAGGCCAGAGATGCCAAGGATTGGGCCAATAGTGATGTGATTCCGGATGAGATTCCCGATAAAGACGTGACTGTTGTGCACAAGAATACGACGAATAAGACGGCGCAGCAGTTCGAGGAAGAGCTGCTTAAGATGAAGAAATACATATTGGACACTATGATCGGAAAGGGAGGCCACGCTATCGTCTATATGACGTACACAACTGATGACAGTGGGTATCCGGAGGTTAAAGATGGCCAGGAGTTGGCGTGCAAAGTGATGGATCTGTCGGCCGACGGCCAGTTTGGTGTGAGAGACGCCAAACGGATGCACGCCTTTAAGAGCGAACTCTACGCTCTCGTGAAGAGTAANTCTATATGACGTACACAACTGATGACAGTGGGTATCCGGAGGTTAAAGATGGCCAGGAGTTGGCGTGCAAAGTGATGGATCTGTCGGCCGACGGCCAGTTTGGTGTGAGAGACGCCAAACGGATGCACGCCTTTAAGAGCGAACTCTACGCTCTCGTGAAGAGTAACCACCGAAATATTGTGGCCATAAAAGATCACTTCATTATTAACGATAAGTGCTATTTAATGATGGAATACGCGGACATGGGTTCGCTTGAGAGCCATCGCCGACGTCTTAAAGATCCGATCACTGAAGAGGAGGCCAAACGACTGTTCGGTCACATCGCGAGCGGTATCTTCTATTTGCACTGTAATCTTGGTTTCGCTCATTTGGACATCAAATTGGGAAACATATTGTTGTTCACCGATCGGAAACTGAAGGACAATAAGGATAAGGAGAAAATTAAGAATCTGATTTGTAAAGTGTCGGACTTCGGCTTAAGTCGTCTCCGCATTGACCCGAAGGACGGCATCATCAAAGAGTGGAATCCGAAGGGAACGGTTCCCTATATGTCACCCCAAGTCCTTCATCTGTATATCCAGGAAAAGCTGAACGAGAGGTCGATATACGGAGAAACGCGACCATTCAATCCATTCATAGCCGACATCTGGTCAATGGGTGTCTGTCTTTATCTCATGCTTTACAACGAATACCCATTTGATTGCGAAGACGACCCGAGGCTTATGATCAACGTCTTGGAAGACATGAAACGCAAACGATATAAAACAGACTTTCAGAGCGATTCGGACCGCTTAAAAAGTGCGTGCAGGGACATTCTCGAAGACCTTCTTGAACCCAATCCTCACAAACGGCTCACCATTCATAACATTGTCACTCATGTCTGGTTTGATCGCATGTTTACTGTCGAAGATTTGGCCACTCCTAAAGTAGAGTCGTCCCACTTGTGCTAAATTAGAGTCACTTTTAATAGTATGACATTTTGTATAAACTTTATCCATATTTTAACAGTATTTAAATATTAATCTCTTGTAATCCCTTTTAAACTCTCGTTAACGTAATTAACATATCATACTTTGCATTAATTTTAAAATTATAATAAAAATAGTTTTTTATATTTAATAAAACTAATAAATAAGACTCTTTGAATTGAAAGCAATTAATTTTTATTTAAATAATTATCAAAACTATTGATTCATTGAAATTAAAATATTATTGAACATTGAGTTCACAAAAACATTTTGATTACACAGTATTTTCATTTATTTGAAAACTTTATTTGAGTTCAAATGCTTGAAAGTAATCCAATCGATGAAAGTTTGGATCCGTATATTTGCCATAAGGTGTAGGAGATAAAGCTAAATAGTGTCGGTCAGGATCTGTGCCGTGAATGCCGTAAGCGTTGAATTTTGTTAGATCTGGGGGTAAATAATCTCTGGGAACGACACAACTTCCCGACCATTTATCGCCATCAATTTTAGCTGTAAAACTATCAAGGTCCAATGGATATTTGGTTACATTCCCGGAACCGTGCAGTTGTAGCACCAGATACTGTCCTTTGGGCGCGAACTCCAGCTCAAGATATCGGTCATCGGATCCCAAGAGAAACACTTCGACGACTTCGTAATCGTAGAGATGATCCATTGAGCCGACGGGTTGTGAGTCATTCATATGCGGCGAGTCATAGAAAGTGGCCGACACTTCGATCCGCAAATCCCGGTCTCCTGACTCGTCCGCACTGTTGGCCACGTATTCAAAGTGAA